TTTGAGACAGAGTTTCACTCTTGTCACCCAGTCTGGAATGCAATGGCATGATCTCAGCTCGCTGCAACCTCCACCTCCTGGTTTCAAGTGATTCTTCTGCCTCAGCCTCCTGAGCAACTGGGATTACAGGCATGCATCACCATGCCTGGCTAATTTTGTATTTTTAGTAGAGGTGGGGTTTCACCAGGTTAGCCAGGCTGGTCTCGAACTCCTGACCTCAGGTGATACACCCACCTCAGCCTCCCAAAGTGCTGGAATTACAAGCCTGAGCCACCACACTTGGCCATGACTGCCCTAATATTCTATGCTTCTGCTACACTGCACTTGTCCGTTCCCTTAACATCCTAGTTGCTGCCCACCCTCAGCTACCACAGACAATACCACAATGGACTTTTTGGTACATATTATGAGGGCTGGATGAATTAACATATGTAAAGGGCTTAGAACAGGACTTGGCACATAGGAGGATTCATGTAAATTAGTCCTGGTAAGGATACGATGCTTCCCTACGGAGCCCTGAATCGCCTCTGTGGGATGCACCCTGAAAGCGAGACTGCAGAGTTATGTTCATGAGTTACATGCAAGCTCACTCCAAAACCCAAATCTAATTCACTGGCAAGTCCTGATGACTCTACCTGCTACACTGATCTTTTCATACAGTTATTTATTCACCTAGTCGCTAGAGAGAGACTTCTCAAACGTTAACCATCTGGTGTTACTTTCCTTCAAAATTCCCCAAAAGTGCCCTCAGAATAAGTTTCAAACACCCTCCCATGGTCTGCAGGGCTCTACAATCAGGCCTTTCTCTGACCCTTGGCCTCATTTCTTATGACTCTCCCCCTCACTTACTCTGATCTAGCCACAATGCATTTAGAACAGTTGCTGGAACATTCCATGTCTTGCATCAGGGCCTCACTTACTGTTCTTTCTGCCTGAACGATTCTTACTCTCCTCCCAGATCTTTAAGTTTCACTTCCTCACTCCACTCAAATATTACCTCCTCGGAGAGATGGTAGCTAAAATAGTTCCTCCTCACTGTCATTTGCTGGCTCCACATTTTGTTTTTTTTCTCTTCGTTGCACTTGTTACTACCTGACATTGTATTTATTTGTTTGTGATAGGTTTTCCCCGTTAGAATGTAAGCTCCATTGAGACAGGAATTTTTTCTTATTCGCTGATGTATCACCTACAACAGTGATAGCACATAGCACGTGCTGTGTAAGTATTTGTGGCATAAACAAAGGAAGAGATTGAATCCAGTGGATTACTCTCAAAAGTAGCTTCAAGAGTTAATATATCCACCAGCGATTCACAGGGCTCTTGTTCCCTCTTGTTATCAATATTCAGTATTTTTTTATTTTGTAATTTTTCCAAACAAATTTTTCTTTTCCTTAATAAAAACATTTAAAAAAATCTTTTTTATTTTACTTGTTTTCTGTAACTCAGGACAGGGCTGATAATAATAGATTTTTTCATTACTATTCTTTAATGTAAACTTTTCTTTTGTGTGTGTGTGTGTGTGTGTGTGTGTGTGAGCAACATGGCTGTTTATTTACCTGGGTGCAGGTGGGCTAAGGCCGAAAAGGGTGCTGGCAAAGGGCAGTGGGATGGGAGTTGGTTTTATAGGTTTGGGGTGGGTGGTGGAAAGTTAGAGTAAGATCAGTTACAGTGGTGGCGGGTAGGGGCAGGAAGTATACATTACCGTAAGTTAGTTACAATGGCGGGTGGGATAAGAGTACTATAATAACAGTTAAGATGGCAGAGTAGGGTGAGGGGCTTGTCAAGGAAGCTCCGATGGGCGATTAGGATCAATGGCAAACACAGGGGTGTGGGGTGACAGGGTGGGTAGTGGGGTGGTAGAGGGGTGGGGGAAGTGTGAAACAATTAGCCAAGGAAAGAGGACTTCAGACTTTCAGGTCCAGGCTTGCATATGGAGACCTGATATACCTGTCCTTTATATAGAGAGAAAGCATTAAAAAAGGGTGATAACAGGTTTTATGGGGGTAGGGGCGAAGTTTCTTCAGGCTTCTTAGAGCGGGATTGGAAACCTAAAAATGGGAAAGAATTTAAGACTGCTGGAAGATTTTGGGGAAAGTGGTAATATTGTGGCATTGTTGGATGACAATTAGGCCTATCACAACAAACCCTCTTTAAACTTCCTCCTATGATTCTAAGCAGGTCATTTTATCCCTTCCCTAGTCTCTTCTAAGTTGTAACTGAACCTAGTTTTTCTAGATTAGGCTACTGGACTGGGCAAAGAGACCTTTGTGTTTAGGAGGAGTCAATGCTACTCTATATCTGATCACCCAGGCCTGTTAACACTGCTCAGATCATTACTCTCTATTCCTTCTATCCCTAGCCAAGGCCCTTGTCTCCAAAGTCTGGATGAGAACAGGGTTCAGACTGGGTCCCAT